ACACACACACACACACACACACACACACACACACACACACACANTCCATAGTTTCTATTGAACTTGAATAGGAAGTCATACACTGGCAATCAATGGTACAATATTCGGAGGTGGTATCGCCTCTCTGATCCTCTAGTTATACTAGTATTTACTTTAGTTTCTGCATGTTTTTTCCTACAGAAGAGCCTGTTGACTTTGTTGTCCGCTTGAAAGAACTTGATGCTATGGAGCATGACACTGTCACCTTCACATGTCAACTTAGCCGTGCCTCAAATGAGGTGGCATGGTACAAAGAGGATAAAAAGATAAAAAACAGTGACAAACATGAGATAAGGTCTGAAGGACTAGAGTACAGCCTCACTATCTTTGACGTTGACTTGGATGATGAGGCTGAATACATAGTTGTTGCTGAAGAGAAGGAGTCCATAGGATATCTCTATGTTGAAGGTACATTTTGTACATGAATCAGACTATATGAGGTGTAGGGATGTTTTTTCAAATGTAATGAAATATACTTCCAATGTACGGACCCTTGAAAAAAATTTTAAGATATAGAAAAATGCTTATGTGTAAATACATGTAGTAACCATGCAGGGCAAGGAACCTTTTAAATAAATGTAGATTACTTCAGGATTCTACCAGTCAAATAGTACTTGTACTGGCAAATAATGCATGTTTATAATACATAGTGTGCAAATAATAGTTCACTGCAAATAACTGCATGCTGCATGTTTTATCTGCATGTCTTACAGAAGCATCCATAGAGTTCACACAGAGATTGGAGGAAAAGGAAGTAGATGAGGGAACAGATGTTACTTTTGTATGTGAATTGAACCAAGATGACGCCACTGTCACTTGGTTTAAAGATGGCGACCTTATCCAAGATGGTCCCAAGTATAAGATTGTCTCTGAAGGGAGAGAGCATATGCTTGTTATCAAGGGGTCTGATATAGATGATGAAGGAAACTATGCTGCCCAGGCTGGAAACAGAAGGACAACTGCCCCTTTATTTGTTCGGGGTATGATAGCCTATGTGTCCTACATATTTCTGAGACACTGTATTTTTCCCTTTGTATGTTGGTCTATATCCTGCTCTCAGATCACCCTCCTATCTTAATTTTAACTGAAGATGAAAAATAGCTGTCAGTGAATGGCTTTATCCCACCTCTTGATCCTTTTCCAAATTGGCCGTAGTGCTTGGACTACAAACAAGCGCGTTTTTAAAAAGTAGTAATACTATAGTAATAACTTGCTTCTGGTTTAATTAAATATAATAAGGCACAGGACTGCAAAATTGGCTGAAGGGAATATGGTAAGATGCATGTTTTTTATTCTTTATCCCACTTGAATATCTGAACCCACAAGCTTTGCTTAATATTCAGATCGTCTTGCCCATAAAACACGGAAACAGCTTAGTATTGATGAACCAGGCTTTGATCATGAAGAAGAATTAAACAGGAGCTTGCGGTTTATGGAGGGTTTTAAGGAAAGAGAAAAATCAGACAGTTTTTGCAGTAGCAAGGACCCTGATTGTGATACTGTTGATGATGATACCTCCACCATCAAAAATGGAAAAGGTATTTTAGAGAAAGGTGTATTTGGCTTCATATCCTATATCGCTGCTTTAATCCCCTTTGCATTTTCTTCTTGTTTATTTATCTTTTATATTGTCCTTTCTCAGTTATTTGTTTATAAATTTTGGAGAATTTAAAAAAGGGTAAATTAAGATAATTCAGGGTATGTATTTTAAGCTCACATTGCTAAATATAGGACAATTAAAAGAAATGTTCTGAGATGAAAATAAATGAAAGTCAGATTTTTTTGCATGTCAGTTGAATGCATGTTTGATATTGAATTCAGAAGTGCATGCTTCAGACTCCAGTGTGGAGGAAGAGCCATTTGTAATGGAGAGTGAAACATCACAGAAACTAAGAGAAGGTTCAGATTCTCCACCAGTGATTACCACCTCTCAGAAAACCAGATTAACCAATGAAAATGTGCAGGAAGAGAGTGGTATCGGAAATGCTGGTAGGGGACTAAGCTTAGTACATGTATATGGTTGACATGAAAATGAATAAAGTTTGGTTTCAATAGAATTTATAAAATGGTGTGATGGTATATGCTGTTGCTGTAACAATTCTGCTTGTTATTAGCATTCATAGTAACTCTGTTAGAGGTTTGTCACATATTTGTAGACTTATGCACTTCACATTAATTGTGAAAAATCATGCTTTTATTAAAAGCACATTGCACATTTCAAAAGATTTTTTTGAATTATTAATGATTTGCATGCCTCACTAACACTATACAATGCATGCTTTGATTTTAGATCATGCACTAGATGAGCACAAGTTACTAGTACATGGTTCTGTCAATGCACAACATGACACACTGACAGGTCCGCTAGAAAAACCAGACCCTGCCTTTCCCACCGAAACAGACTCATTAGCACTTGCTGCAGCAGATTACAAGAAAGAATCTGCTAAGAGAAACATTCTGCCTAAAGAGGATGAAAATGTATTACCTTCCAAAGAAGGTCATAAACCAAAGGATGTTGTCCGTGACACTGAAGATGATGCAGAAAGACTGAAGGATTATACAAAAACCCAACCCTTNACTGTACTTGTAAAAAATCCATGTTGAGATGTTGAAGCCAGCAATAGTGTATGCAGACATCAAGTGCGCCACATTAATATCACTGTGGTATGTTAATTCTTCTTTTACTCTCTTGCGTTTTCCTTCCGTTACGGATATTCTTTTAAGTTTCAAAATATTGAGATCAATCTGAGTTAACAATGTGCTAAATTTAAGTAACCCTTTTACTGTCCTAAAGTAACTTGAACAACGGGACGTGTTAACGGGTCAGCGTTGTATTCTTCCTGCCTGTACTTCTTCATAATACATGCATGTACAATCTATTACCAGTATAAGCTATAATACCGTTCACTACTTTCGAATGCTAATAGACTCTAAAATTGCATCAAGACAGTTTTCATTGAAATCAAGAATATGAAAAGGAAAAGGCATTAGAGGAAGGTGCTGTTTTTTCTGTTGTTTTTCATTTGTTTGTGTTTGTATGTGTGGGTGTTTTTTTAAATTTTTTTGGGTTACCAATAAAAGGATACTCTTCAAAGTGACTAGTAATTTCTCCTCCTTTCTTTTTCTTGCGCATGAATCGCAGCCCCTTCACCCACTTGTCTCTTAGTTCTTCCGTGTCAGCAACTAGGTCTAACGTTTTGTCTTTTGGTCCAAAGACCAGAGAAAAGCAGCAGGTTTGCTTAAAGGAAAAATGTATTTCAATACATATTCAATTTTACTCATCAGACACACAGTTCCACTTTCGACTGAACACCTAGTCATGATACTAAGAACAAAATGCTTTCCTGACGTTCCATAAGTCGTACAGCACATTGAGAGTGACAAAACGCCACATGGCACATTTATCCCAGTATATTCCAATAAGAAACATGCCGATGTTTCAATTACATTTGAAAAAACTCCAATGGTGAAGAAATAAAATGGGCTATTTACCTGCACATTCTTTTTCTTCTTTTGCTTGAAGGTTTCTGTCTCCCACCCTTCCCTTATATCTGTTATGTCAGATATATCAACTAAAAATAAATGTGAATACATACTTGGAGAAACAGAATAATGCATACTTTGCAAGACATAATTTAACATATCTACGTCAGTCAAACGCACATGCTGAGGACGTATCGGTTATCAGCACACAAACACACACACACACACACGCACGCACGCACACACACATACAAACACACGCACGCACACACACATACACACTCACATAAACACACACAAACATAAACATATGCACTCACAAATAATAACATGCCGAAATTGTCTCATGATGTCAGTGGCGCGTATAAGAAATACAAGACAGTACACGTAGGTAATTTGCGATATATCATGATCATACGCGGCATGTACTACATATGTATACCTGAACTGTATCAAAGGAATATGTTTGCAACTTTTTTTTATCAAATGCATAACTTGACATGCCGTAAGACAAGAGAGAGAGAGAGAGAGAGAGAGAGAGAGAGAGAGAGAGAGAGAGAGAGAGAGAGAGAGAGAGAAACAAACGTACACGTCCACACATAATTATATGGTACAAAACGCGAGCTTGCACAAGCAAACACAAGTACACACACACACACACACACATAACCACACAGAGAGAGAGAGAGAGAGAGAGAGAGAGAGAGAGGTATCGGGTATATATAGTTAGCCATCGATAAATAACATGATGGACTTTGCTAACGGTTGACAAACCTGTTGCTCGTTTTCAAATTCAACCAATAAAACAGTACCACGATGATGCATTAGAAATAACAAACGTCACAAAATATCTAATTCACACTGACAAAATTTGAACAAACATACCGACGATTTCCTCGTTCTTTTTTCTTCCTGGCTTCTTGGAGCCATCGTACACTAGTCTGTTTTGTTCGTCCACGACGTAGAATCTTTTGTACGTGCGTCCACGAGAGCGCATCTTCAGAAAATGACATCCTTTGTGTAAAAGTGTCTGTAATTCTTCTCCTGAAACAATAAAAAAAGTTACACGAAATGTCAACGATCACCACAAATAACAGATCAATTTCATTTTGAATAGGTTATGACATGCTCGCGATGATTCACGTGTATCACAAACCAAAACAAAACGTGCCATTTGAAATTATTGCACAATTGCTTAACTAAGGAAATATCATGCGTGAAAAAATAAAGAATGCAATTTGCCACTTTAGTCACTTTGAGTAAAAAAAATAAACAAACTATTATCTTGCTTAAATGTTTTTCCAGATGCCGGTTGGACAGGAAGGGGGGGGGGGCGAAATTGTGTTTGATTATTTACCTGCATGTTTTAACTAAATCTGTAAATGCAAGAAGGAAACAAGATGCAGTACTGTCACACCCTACACGTGGATTATTCTAAAAGCATTTAGACCCAGTACGGGCTTTTACAGAAAGGTCCCCAGCTTCTTTCCCATTGTTGAAAAACTTTGCCTTGTTTCAGGAACAGAGAATAATGGTTATGATGGGCAACACGACCACATAAAACATTGTATCATAGGTCAGAAAAATATTATCCGCTGTTTTTTACATTGACATTATCATTGTGGTTAAATATTCGTTTGTCATTATTCTGATAAACCGCAAGCTTCCGCGATGCTGGCAATTGCATCTATATCTATTCCCCTTAGATAAGCACGTTATCAGATCTCTTTCTCTCTCTTTTGTGTTGTGTGAGTATCTGTGTGTGTAAGTGTGTGTGTGTGTGTGTGTTTGCGTGTGCCTGCGCGCGTAATAGTGTGAGCACAAATCTGCGCACGCGAGCACAAATCTTATAATTAATTATAATATCCAGTCTAACGCGGAACTGAACATACTTGGTAGACTAAGGAATAACAAAGTTCTAAGACACGTCCATTTGAAAATCACTATGTATCTTAATTATAGAGAGTGTCTCGTGGTCACATTCCTGCCAGTGTCTTTCGTTTAAGGTCAAGAACGCAGTGCCTCGATATGTTCTCAGAGATTTCCCGCAGGAAAACAGCTCGCAGTGAAAACAATTAAAGCACACTTAGCCACCAATGTAGCAGGGTTATTGCCTGCACACGTGAGATCAATCCGGACACAGCGGGAACGAATAAACAATGGGCAAAAGTCCTTGCGCTATACTCTTACCTATGTCCAAAAGAACTTGCTAACAAAGCAGTTATAGCATGGTGAAGAGGTTTTCTAACCTCCAACACGCTGAACCCACTTGACAACTGGTGTGCTACAGGACCACCATCAATACACGCCTAGGACAGGAACGTAAACGTGAACGCTTCACACTCAATGACCGTCTCTCACCTACCGTGCATTTCTTGCCGTCAAACACTCAAAGAAAGTCTTCATTAAGCTGCAACACGAGGACACGATTTCGTGCAAAGTGGTCCGTCTGTCTAGGTCCCCGCGCTTCTAAAAACGGCCTGATATCCAAGGAAAAAGAAAGCCATGCCAGCGACCAGGTCGTGTTAAAAACGACGCGTTCTTTCACGCACGATGTCTCGAAATGTCACACACACGCATGGGGGTCTCGTATCACCAGTTCAGTCCCATCATATTAGGCATGACGAAGAGTGTCTGCAAGCTAGAGATATGTTAAAACTGTGACTCATTAGCAAAAAGGGGGCAGATGAGGAGCCTGAGGGCGCTAAGTTGTGCTCACACTGGGACACCAATACGACCCGTCTGATATATATATATCTTTAAACCATGGTATAAGAACAAGATCGTCTAAGATAATTTAAAGCTCAATGCACATGTGGATCAATAGCCTAAAATTGTACCATCAAACTGCTTATTTGACACATTTAGGAGATTAAGTAGACTCATCGTGTGATGACGCAAGTTAGACCGGTTCCGTGTTTAAATTAGGCAGCGAATGAACGCTGATTGTGCACGCACTTTTCAGTTTAACGACTGTACATGTATGTACTGAGTCAGTGAGATAAAAAATATATAGCCTCAGGTAGAATGCTACAGAAGACAATTTAAATTATCAAGTGACACTAAATCTTTTGGACTTTTTTAACGTAATTGCTCTAATTTTTATTTAAAAAAATGCCTAGGTTTATTTAGACCAAGCAGGATACCTGGTACAATGTATGAATATCTAAACCCAAGAAGACATTCGGTAGCCATCAACTTCACTTTTTTTTTGTCCGAGGTATGTACACCATGACCAGTGCGTCAGTACCTATATGTACATGTATTTCAAAACAACCACCGGTCATTGTGTAAACATTGCCCACACACACCCGCCTGCTATTCTTGTTGTAACTGAGCCCTACACGGCCTACGAATACTGCACTTTAAGGGTTGGTACCAGAATAGTATTTTTTAAACATGACCAAGCTGTGGAAAAAATTTCCGTGTGCCCAACTTCAATCGTGTCTAACACCCCATTTCCATAGATTTTTAGATCGATCTATCCCTGTGGGGAGTCTCACTAGATTACTGTCAGCTTGGCCGGCTTAAGCGTCTGTCCTGCCTACTAAAAGCTGTAAGGGGGTTATTAACTATGGTGCCCGCTCGGCTGACTGCAATTTAGCGTGAACCTCCAAGGAGTTAGGTCGATCTAAATCTTATTCTTTAGATCGATCTAAATCTCTGGGAAAGCACCCTTAGGGTATAAATACCCTTTGCTTTCAGAAATAATCGATCTCGTAATTTGGATGGCAGAAATGAGAGCAGTCCCGCTAACAACTCATCGAATTACAATATAAGCCATTAATTGTATATTAGATTATATCGCTGTGTTATTAAAAAAAACGAATGTGTTTTCCAACTAAGAAGCCGTGACGTTTTGACTTTTTGTCAGAGGGCTTTGATTACATGACTGACTCGTCGATGCAAGCTCTTTAAAAACGATTTACTTTTTCTATCATTATTGCACAAGAGGCAATGAAAAACAAATTTCACTGTGAACTTCGTGTTCCCGGATGCAGAAGATAACATACGATACAGACGACATAGGGCTTTAGATAATAAACCAAACATTAAATGTGCATTTAGCGTGAATCAAACTATCAGAATATTAAGAAACCTGATGTACAACTGCACTGTATTAGGACACCCCGTCTGTGAGTATACGGTACTAACCGAAATGAGAATATCACTTTTGTTTCGTTCGGTTTCTTGTCACTGAAGAGAAATGATTATCTTAAGGTCTTAAGGGCACCCTCTTCGGCAACTTTTAAAAGTTAATAATCCACTTGTCTACTTTTAATTCGAATTATCCAATCACTGGCTTTTATATATTTGCGTGGACAGCACATTACTTCTGGAAGCATCTGGAGTAAAAAGTTGGCCTACCAGAATTGAATGAACAATGAAATTTTGAACTTCAAGAATACAGTAGCAGATGGCTCTAAATCTCCATAAAGTTAACTCCTACCTTTTGCGGGGGCTGCTTCCGCCATAACGATATAACCTGTGCCCTTGCGTTGTCAGTCCAACTCAAATATACAAAATATATTAAAAGAGATCAGTACCACATACAACTTCGACCTGGTACAAGTTTCGAATCAGTGTTGGTAAAATGCGTCGCCGTTGCAAGACGCGTACTCACGTCTTACTTATGTTGTATAAAGCGGTGAGGTTTCAAAACGCGGTGCGGTAACAGAAAGCGGATCTACAGGCACAAGGTGTTCGTATAATAATGAAATAACAGTCATACAGGGTCAGGGAATATATAAGAGTCACATTTGCACAAGTTGAAGAGTAACATGACATCCAGTTTATATGGCCCTTCATTCCATCATTCACTAACAAAGGTTTATTGTTTTATGATGATAGGCTGGCACCTGATATTCACTGTTATATGCTCTTTATTGTATATATGTAACGGTGAGTGGGAAGTACACAAGTCGTTGCTGTTGTTCTCTCTCTCTCTCTCTCTCAATTATTCTCTAATCCCAAAATTATCTCTCTCTATCTCTCTATCCAATAATCTTTAACACCACAACCCCTCTCTCTCTCTCTCTCTCTCTCTCTCTCTCTCTCCAATATTCTCTAACCCCAAAATTCTCTTTCTCCCTCTCTCTCTCTCTCTCTCTCACACACACACACACACACACACACACACTGAGCACTAAGCACTCGTTTTTGCATTGTTAGCAATTGTTTTCACAGTTGACACCACGACTCTACAATTTGATGCCAAGTAAGTCGAAACCGCATCAAAAGACATAATGGGCAATAAATCAGACATAAACGCCTGGAATCTCCACTGGTGTTGAAGGGCAACTTTTAATGGTAAGAATAGGCAGAGGTTTTAGGAAGTTTTATAGATTGTTATTATTATTATTATTATTCCCAAGTCGTATTCACACTGGCCGAGGATGGCCCGACTTTGGATCGGTTAGGCGACGTTTACAAATTATTAAAAGTACGTTATCAAGTTACTCGAAAATGTGAAATGTCATTTGGATCGAATAGCGTAAATAGATTTGACCTAGATGATTGCCATGCGAACCTGGCCTACATGTAGCAGTGTCATAGTGTGTAACAGTATCTTCGTTGTTCATACCACACGTGCCGTTTTCACTGAAATGACACGAATTCTAAATGTCACGTTTGAGATACCGTAATCCTGTATCTCAGAAAACATGTGCGCGTACTATGCTGCAGCTTGGTTGAATGTTAATGGTATCTTTTTACCGAAAGTAGCCCCTGTGCTGGGGGCCGTGGACAGACGTGTTGGTTAGATTCAATACGGCGGTGAAGGATGTGGTGAATACAGAACACTTTATAAAGAACAATTTTTGAATATTCAGACAAGCAGAAAAAAAAGAAAAAGAAGCCTCTCTCTCTCTCTCTCTCTCTCTCTCTCTCTCTCTCTCTGTGATAAAAATTCATATGTGTAAATGCACCCGACATACACTCAATTTATAGGCCAATTATGCATTTTAACAACTATTAAAGCATATTCTTTTGGGCGTACTTACATGTAATATTAAATCACATTTTATTTGATGCCTGCGCAATTGAATCACTTTCTTTTTCACACACTTCCCTATTGTGAACTAACACATGTCGCAAGGACTGCGTCCAAGTATTGTGACCCCGCACTCAAAAATGTCGAAACAGCGTCAAAAGGTCGGTAATTAAGATGTCATCTGGCGAAGACATTAACAACGAGTGTGTCCGGACGGGACCTTTTGGCCCGGTGCAACACATAGCACTTTCAATAGCTTCCAGCTGCAGCGGTTCCATTTCGAGTGCAGCAATATTCAATGTCACACGTCTGATTGACATGCACATGCTGAGGATCGTTTTACAGCCGAATAAACAGAATATCAATTATCAGCTTGTTGAATCGGAGGTTTACGGCAGTTTTAGCAAGTTTTGCATAGAATTAGACACGTGAAACTAAAAGAATAAATAGGCTACTTAAGACATATGCCTTGGCTCATTTATTGTGATACAGTAATAATAAAAAATAACTTTTCTAACATGTATTATAATTTGTTCGGTGGCTTACTCGGTGGGCAATCCACAATAATAAATTTAAAGTAAAACGTAGTTCAGGAAGCTCTCTTCCATATTGATTGACATCTATGATTCTTTAACTGCTGCTTGAATTTATTTTGCTTTTGAAATAACAACATCGTTAAACAAATTTCAAAACTTTAAAAGCCTCATCTTATTGTCATCATTTCTATGCAATCAGCGAATGATCATTGTCTTTTTTGTCAATCAATATAACATTATATTTAAAATGTGCGTTTCTGAACAAAAAAAGTGGACAAGTGGCCCGCATACTGGCGCAGAAGTAGGCCTATTGATTAAGCTAGCCCGGATGCCCTTTCCTATTGTTGTTGACCAGAAAGAACTTACATGTTTGAGCCATAAATGTCGCCACATTGTATATTTTGGAAACACTCCTTATTCAAGATATCTGATATCATCAGATAGAATGAGATTCCAGATTTGGAAAATTTCTAGTACTTGTTATGTGATTTTTGCTGTATGGAGCACTTGTCGCACAACAGTCAAAACTGAATGAAAACCCACAGATGTAGTAGACCTGATAGGAAATCATCAACCGATTCGCCACCTTTGAGATACAAACCGTGCACAAATTTTATTTTCACTGAAAGTTCGTTACCATCTGCATATGCCTTAATCGAAATCACAACGGCGAATTTCTAACACAGTGAAGTAAAGATAAGTGATCTTTCCCACCCGATGTTCAAAGCTTATAATTTGCCGTACCATAACCTAAAAACAAACCCTTTAAATTTATTATCAGGATACTTTTACTTAAAATAAAACGCGATCCTCAAGAAATGCTGAATCGCAGGATGTCTTTTACTAGAACCGGTAATGCAGTTGCATCGCTGGGCCCATATAAATCCCCCATATATTCCCAAAAATCTAGTACATGTACCAGAATCAGCTTTACGTCTATTAATTTTTATCGCACCTGCCTGCACATAACGGATAGAATTGTTTACAATAAGGCTGAGATTCCATTCTTTCAAACATTCAGATTTGCAATAAAAAATGGTTGTCTTAAGGTACGAGTATTATTTCGGGGGAATTTTTAACTGTTATAGAATTTGTAAACGAGACATGTATTCAAATTTAACGACCTGGATGTCAGCTATAAATCGTAAGTCACAACATCACATGGTATGCAAATAGACTTCCGAGCCCCCGTTTAACCGTACAGTTTAACTAGTGTTTTAACATTAATTGATGTTTAAACATTCTTCTAGGCCTACTGGGCGGTATGTGTTCATTCTACGTGCCGTCCTACGAATCGCACACCTGTATACAAGATTTTGAATCTAGTTTTTATTTTCTGGAATCAAATTGTTTTTCGCTAAGATGAGTTTTTTTTTCTGACACACTGGTATACATGGAAATGGATGAAGTGTCAGCTATGGAGGCTACATCATGTTTCGGATATTTGACATAATTTTGGCATAGATTTGCCGCTCAGCTGTCGCGGTTGCATGTTTTGTGCGAACATTTTACCGTTTCAGCAGGGCCGTAGCCTCCGGGGGGGCAGGGGGGGCAGCTGCCCCCCCTGCGATTTGAGGTGCAAATATGGCAAAATGGCAATATGAACCCACAATTTTTGACTTCTGATTGAGCAATAAATAACAGTTAAAATGCACCAGAATGCAGTATTATACATACAGTTTTTAAAAAATTTCCACACCCATACCCTCACCTCGGGTGCTTCACCCCCTCGTGTCCGCTTACTGCCCCCCCTGGCATTTTGCTCAGGCTACGGCCCTGTTCAGAGTATAGGAACCCAATCTCTCTCTCCATCTCTCTATCTCTCCAGCCATATCTCTCTCTCTCTCTGCTAACGACCTGTTTTTATTGAACAGACGTGCCATATAGGTCTGCACAGCCACTCACTCCCTCCTACCTGTTTCAAAGGACACCCTCACTCTTCTCAGAGTAAACCCGAACTTTCTGGAAAGACTAAGCACGGTGAACAGCAGGAGCAGCAACCCGCCTGGCAGGAGGGCGAAGTTGCGCAAAGTTAAGCTCAAGAAGTACAAATGATATAAAATCCAGGCTATGGCGGGCGGGAGGTAGCACACGGCGGTGAATATAACGATAGAATCCTCATCCAAAGTGGCATAAAAGTTGTCCAAAATTTCTCCGAGTCCGCCCATTCGGAGTTTCAACCTCTCTAAAACCCCGGTGGTCATTACATCCTCCGTCTCCTGATGTGTCTCCCCGCGGCTCCGCGCCCATCCGTAAAGTTTCAAACGATCCCAAATTTTGTCCCCCAACGCTTCCCACATCCACTTCATGGTGGCGCTTTCCAATGTGTTTAGCTTAACGTCTCTGTGTATAACTATACTGTACAACACAGGTCACTTGCCGAATCGTTTTAAGCACTGAAGGATCGACCTAGACTGCTTAATGTACTACAGAGTGACAAGGAAGGGGAACGTGTACGAATTTCGGTAGCGGAACGATTTATTGTTATGGTTGGCATCTCTGATTCCAGATGGACGTAAAGCAACAGCTTGTTACTGTGGCATATCGCGTACATTTTTACGTCTTGTATACCATTTCTCTGGCCTTACGAGTAAAGGGCACCCTTTTACATACATCAGTTTGACACCGATGTTGAGCAGTTTTAGTCGGAGAATAATTTGATAGAATTTCTGAAAAAAAAAAAAATGAGCTACGCCGATGATGAAATTTAGCTGTCAGAACATCCTGTGGCACAAAATAATATACACCCAAAAGACAAACTTACACAGAAGCCATATCAGAGTGATGTGAAAAAAATGAGAAAAGATGGGATGAAAATACTTTTGTAAAAGAATGGGGAGAACAAGGGCAGACGAAGAAAGGTGAAAATGATGAAAGGCATTCGTTCGTCAAAAATAAATTCCAAAATCAGAGGTAAATCTGTTTTAATGAGATCAATATGTTCTAGAGGAAAGCAATTTAATTCAAACTCGACACATGCAGGTAGGGAGTTCTAGAAATGAAAATCCTTTCCGGGTCGTCATTTTAATAGATCGCCTCAACTGACAGCAAGCATTTGCAAAATGCCACTTGTATCATACTAGAGCTAACGTGGAATATGATATACGTAAGATTTGGGGATTCTGCACTGAATTCCTTGTAAGCTAATTGT